GATTAGAGATGTGTACGGAAGAGCAGAAGCAACGCGATAGTTAGTTGCCTCTCAAATTGTTCATGCCACAGGTTCTTCTGCCTGTATATATTGGTCCAAATCACAATATTTAAATTTAGGGTAAATTGCAAGTTTGATCACCAAGTGTACACAAATTTCTATGTTTGGTCTCTAAAAATATTTTATTCAATTCGTGATCACTAAAAATAATTATACTATTCAAATTTGGTCACTTTCTGTTAGTCTCCATTAAGTTTATCTATTGTAACAGTCAACTCTTATAGTTGACGTTAAATGAGTGACGTGACAAATTCTGTCTCATAGTAGCCCTAGGCTAGGGTGAGGGATAGTTCTCTGAAGTACCTTCTTTTAGCTTTGTTAAATCTCTAAACTAGTAATCCCCTCAAATCCTCCACTCAAACCTCCAAAACCAGATTAACTGATTAACAAAGAGGTGGGAAGTAGGCTAGGGTACTAGGACCCGAGTAAAATACGCCCTTGATTACCACTATATGACAATGCCATCTTTTGAGATTCTCACTAAACTCTCAACTCAACTTTTCTATCAAAAACACTACAGTGGTTCCTTGCCCTCTCTGTTTTTATCTCGTAAAAAGGTGAGTGCTACTTTCTTCAAAAATTCTCATATATACTAACGAGGTAGTTGTTGTAGGGTGGTCGAGCGCGAGACCAATCGACTCTCCTCTGATTCGATTACTTTCTTTCAGCTGCAAGAAACCCTAATCGTGCAGGGAAGATCAAGTGAAGGTTCACGAAGTTTTGGAATAAAGAAAGAGGATAGATAAAATGATATATTCTTTATTTTGTCAGAAGAAATTAAATTGGGCTGGGCTTTGCTTTCTTTACTTATCAGGTTTGTACCGCAAATTTGCTGGGCTTGTTACACCGAAGCCCAACCTTATCGATGAAGATTCTTCCCTGAGAGACTCCCCTGTATTTCACCTGCTTCACTTTCAAGTAACCAGAAAACAGAGCATAACCAGCATAAACGCAGCAAAGCTAAAAGGAATAAGACTCAACACCAACTTTTACGTGGTATCCGATATTGGGAGAATACGAATCCCAATATCGACTAATCCACGGCAAGAGATTCTCCTCTTGAAAACTCTTGCGTAACCACTAATGGTTTTGATCGATTCTTACAAACGATGAACACTTCTTGATTAGCTCCCCGCCTAGCAAGATGTTCAATCCTCCTGTGTATCAACTCCCTGTCTACACACAGAACTACTGAGCAAGTCTCCCTGATTTGCTACACACTGTTTTTCTTTCTCAAGACTACAATTGACACTCAATTTCGTAGCTTTGATTTTGCTTGAAAAACTTGCCCTTCAGTCTGGTGTGGGTTCGCTTAATATATCCTCCTTTGCTGCCCGTTGGACTTGATCTTCACTGATTGATCTAATTTCCTTCATTCTTGGCGACTTTCCATGTTAGTAAGCTTCCTCTTTTGGTAAGGCTCAGAATCTCTCATATGGCTTGAAGTTTGAAGTCTTTTAATCGATTCTGCCATTGACAGGCTTCTCACAACAGTTGTTGATCCTCCAAGAAGGGTAATTTCAATTTGATTTTGAAATTCTTTCCATCTTGCTTTATTTGTGACCTTACTTCAAATGATTCGTCGACCTTGCATCTTGATTCTTTTTCCATTATGTGTCTTGAGTTTGCACTTGTGTCAGTTTCTTTATCTGACCCGTATGAGACCATCGACAGGCTTCCATTCAACAATCTCCCCCTAAGCCAGTCAATGGTTCCATCTGTTGCAAATGTAGTTCCTACACACATACACATGTTCACAAACGATCACGTGCAGACTGTTCTATACTAGAGTTGTAAACATCTTGATCCACGAAACATGGAGTTCTTTTATTCAATATCATAAAATATTGAACTACAAAAGGGCACACGTGCTGCAAAACGAAAGACAGCATTGACTGGTTAGTGCTTCTCCAGAGGCTAAGCTTTATTCAAAACAAAAACAAAAAACATAAATACGCTACCTATGACTGATTCGGTTCCAATTGTACACATTTTACCCCTAATTTACTGATACTTTAACTTTGCATTTCATCGTCCCTTGACCTATTTTACACTAGGTTTTGTCATGTGAAAGTGGGAGGATTTGTGTTAAAGGACGGTTTCATGTTCGCATAGAACATGCGATTCGCCTTCGGGCAATAGCTAAAAGATTGATCATGTGGCAGATCAGTCCACCCAAGAGAAGCAATCAGATTAGGAATATTCAGCCCATACCGACTGAACCGAGAGGGATCAAGAGAGACCGAGGGGCAAAGTGGGCGATCGTAGAAGATGATGATATGGAGACCAACGAAGAAGGGTGATAATAGATGATGCATAAAAGAAGGGATGATCTTCAAGGAGCCTCAAGAAAAAATCATCTCAAGACCAATGATGAAGATGATGATCTTACAACTTCTAAAGAAGAGGAGGATGAGATACAAGCTCTAGGAGTAGCAATGGAGGAAGAATGCTGCAGCATTAAAGAACTTACACTAATCTAAACCTTTTTGGATTTGTGGGAAGATGTTGAAGGATTCACATCACTTGAAGGATTTGAACACTTATTACGCCTTCTGTAATCTGAGTCGAGGAGTACTACACCATTGGAAACATCCAAAAGTAAGAGTTCGAGCATGATAACCCCCCTTCACCTCTTATTTGAAGTTTAACAAAATCCTTGGACTGAGTATTGAAGAAGAGATTGTGAAGGAGAAGTCAAACAAGGATGTTCAACATTAAATGGAGCAAGAAAGAGAGGAGCCACTAGAGGAAAACCCATATCAACCTATCCATCTAAAGAAGGATCTTCAAGAGAAGCCACCTACCAGAAATGATGATGAACATACCAACATGGAATCCAAACAAGGAAAAGAGAAAGATACCCCCACCATCCAATAGGTCATGAGAAGTGGTCGCCGCTCCGTGCAGGTTTAGAATTTGTTGCACGACTTGAACTAACAAAATGATCTTGAGCCAAGTATAACTCAAGATGGCATTGCCAGTATTCGTGGTTGACCAAAGTCTTATTCCACGAGTCTTGATATCCTAGGCTACTTCTCACTCAGTCGTTATTTAGTCGATCACGTTTTAAGGTTGTTTGGAGAAAAATTGGAAACAACTAGAGAAAAAGCAGATATAAAAAGCAGGTACTTGAGGCATCACCCTCGCCCTAGATACTAGTTTTATCATTCAAAAGGATAACTTTATCCTTTTTTGGGGAAGGAAGTATGTGACTCACTAATGTGGGGACTAGCTTAATGCCTAAGCAAATATCCCCCTCCTAATCTGATCTGCTGATTCAATCTCACTTAAGTCAGGTTCACAAACTAGGGATACAGTATATTCCCTTTCAATAGGTTGCACCTATTTGCACATTAATGTGATATGTTGATGGTCACGCACAGATCACCATAGAATTACCTAGGTCTGCATTCTAATTGGCAAGGGATGGTCACCTCGACCACCAATTCGGCCACTAGATAATTCATCTACACTAACCATGCAAAACCGCTCAAATCCACAACCTTCTCAATCAAACCCTAACTAGGCAATCAAGACAAGCATATAGAGAGACAAGTTCAAAGCATAATCAACACAAATAAATTCATATAAATGCTAGGTAAACATATTTCATTCATAAACCCTAAAACGAATTCCTTCTACAATTCTACATAATAAAACCAAATTATAGTGTTTGGGGGACTAAGCCCCTAGTACCTTGAGTAACTACCCCATAAAGGGAGAAAGAAGATACACAGAAGAACAAGCAAGAAAACTAGCGATGGGGGATTGATGAGAAGTCCCTTTCCTCCTCTTCCTTCTCCTTCTTCCTTCTGCTTCTCTCTCTAGTTTGACAAAATGTTTTGAGTGTTCTTACATGAGAGGCAACCAGACATAGTGTTTGAGTTAAGCTGTTAAAGGGCTTTTATCTCGATATGGAGTTCCATTTGAGGATGTGTTTGGGGACCAGATAGTTTTCTAGCATCTCGATCGTCATTTACTACTAACCATCCCCCAAACACCTCTCCTCTTCACAAACTTGTACTCATATATGTGGCAACTCGTTTGTGGTTGAGCAAGGATTGAAATACAATCCCGTACCGGTGCTTTGACTAGAAAAACCTCCTACCGGAGGACCTCTGGTATGGTATTTCAATCCTCGTTGAGACGAGGACTGCATGCGGGGAAGTCGTGCTTGTGGCAATGAATCGAACCATCATGTTCCCCACATGAGGCTTTGATAACACCTAAATTGGTGTTATTAACCCTTCATATTGAGGTTTCTTTCGTGTCAATTGATGTGCATTAATGCTTAAACATTGTCAATTGCATCCCTATTCCGTTGCTATTTGAATTTGATGTGATTTTAGGGTGTGTTAGACAATATATGCTAAATAGGTACAAAACAAAGTCACAAGTGTAGCAAGGGGGCAAAAATGCTTTGTAATATAAGAGGTTATCTAAAATTATTAAAAAAATGATTTCTAATATAAAATATGATTAAAAATTCTAAAATCTAAAAAGTAGTCAAAATGGATCTTGTTAGATTTTTTTTATATTAAATAATATTATATCTATTTTAATTTATTTTTAAAATGATAGAAATGAAATAAAATTATATTTTTCGGAAATAAAATTAAAATATGGTAAGTATAATATTGTATTTTTAAAACAACTTTGCGCATAAACTCAAAATCGGAGCTTCTGCTTTTATTATATAAAAAAACACTTTTTTGCTTTTTAAAAGACGAGTTTTTGTAGATGTTTGGTCTTGTTACAACTTTTGAAGCATAAAAGAACTTCTAAAAGTCGGGTCAAACATAAGCTATGCATGATGTTGAGGTGATTTTCGAACTCATCTTATTTTGAGAGAGAAGAATTCAATGTGTTAGAATATGAGTGTATTTATAAAAGACAGCAAAAGATATAGAAGATTATTTTATAAAAAATAGGAACCAAATTACTCTTACAGTTTATTCACTTTTTAGCAATGATTAAACAAATATTCGGGGTCTCTCTATACGCTTTACATCTCACAGTCACCGTCACAGACAAACACAATAGAATAAATCTAATTTTTCCAATTTCCCCTTGTATAACCTCCCCTCCTATTTACTCTAAAAAGAATCTGTTGTTTCCCTTGTGTGGTTTTTTGTTTTTTTGTTTTGATTCTCCTCCCTTCTCTGTACTCTCTGCTTACAGAAAAAAAATACCCTGCTGTCGCCGACGAGTGAAACAAACCCTCTTACTTCCTCCACGTTGACGACACTCTCACCAATGGTGTCCCTTTCCACTCCAGAACCATCTCATTCTCTGATTCACATCCGGTCCTCACTCCGTACGAAGTCTGGCTCTCCTTCACCATCTCCTTGGCTTCCTCCAAGCTCTCTTTGCTCACTCTCCACTTCTCCATGATCTCCTTCCTCCCCTTCCCCTTCCCCTGCATCTCACTCATCTCCACCCATCTCTGGAACCACGCCTCCGACGATATGAACGGCGCCACGAACAGACATTCCAGCGCCATCCTCGCCTCCGCCAGCTCCGGGAAATTCAGCTCAATTGACTCCAATAAGGACCTGTAATAGACCATGTTCCCTTCAAAGAAGGATCCGAACCCAGAGCAACCATTCAAATGCTCCCAAGCTTCCCCGTCTCCCCGACTCACCATCCCTCTCCCCGACTCGGCCACCAACTCGTTCGCCGTCGTCAGGAATTCCTCCACCAATTTCCTGCTTCTTACCCTCCTCATGTGCGGAAGCCCCACCATACAATTGAACACGCGCCATTCGCTCGCTCGCTTTGCTCCCCTGATTTCCCCTGCCAAATCTTCGATTCGGGTTGATTCGATGATCAGGTTCGACCCGACCCGACAAGAATGGTCCATCAGCCGCCTCTTCACCTCCTCCAGGTTCCACATCGCCGGCGCCCAATCGGAGTCCTGATCCGTTCCCGTGGCTTGCGATTCCCAATCTACGACGGTCAGTTTGACCTTTTTCCCCAGGCGAGCCAGAGCCTCGATCACCGGCGGCCACTGGACGCCTTCCCCGACGTCGAAATCGACGATGTGTACGGTCTCGGCTTCTGCCGGAATCGACTCGATCATGGCCGAATTGGCGGCGAAGTGAGCGAATCGGCCGTAAGGGAAGATCTGGTAGAAAGCCCTGAATGCGGATTCGAAGTTCTTGAGCGCTTCTTGCTTGATGTAATCCACTTCCTTCTGCAGATCCTGCGACAGATTGAAAGCGAGCCGCTCCAGGGAGTCGCCGGCGGGGCTGACTTTTTCGCTAACGTTGGCCATGATGACGTCACCCAGCTCCCTGTGCCCTCCTTCCATCGCTTCCCCGTAGGCCTTCAGCAAGTGGAACACGCTGATCTGGTTGCCGAGTTCCGACTCCTCCATCGGTATGTCCAGCGCCGGATTAGGAATCGCTACTTCCATTGGCGAATTGGTGTCCTCGCTGGATAAGATGGAAGGAGTGGGGCTCCAGTAACCACAGTCTTGATTGTTATCCCGTTGGCTGCTGTCGCTGAGGTTCGGGTCGAACCGGTCCAACCCGGTCAGCAGCTCGTCGGTGGACAAGGTGATCATCCCGAATCCGTCGTCCTCTGACGCGGGAGAGTCAGCGAGGTCGTCGGCGGTGAGCATGGAGGAGAAGTGATGATCCATTATGAGGTCCATTTCGTCGACGTCGGCGGACTGCGGGAGGGTGAAGGAGGAAGAGAAGTCGGCGGCGGAGGCGGAGGGGTCGAGAGTGGAACTGATGACATTGTAGAAAGGCCAAGATGGCTGATAATTATCTTGAAATTGTTCCTGGTAAGTCGACGCCATTGCTGAAAGAAATGGTTTCCGATGTGGGTTTTGTCTTTGTGTTTTGTGGGATGATGAAAGAGAGGAGGGGAGGAGGATGGGGAGAGCTGGAGAGCTGAATTATTTGGGATGGGAGGGAAATCAGTCTTTATAGTTATGAACGTAATTAGTGTTTCTGGAGAACTCGATAAAGTTTAACTAATTAAATTACTCTTTGTTTTTTATGGGGTTATAAAACAGACGGTTTGGTTTGTTTTGTATAGGCACAGAAAAAGGACGTACGACTGCAGCTGTACAGTAACTGCCGTGACAAGACTTTGCGTAATTATCCAAAATGGCCACTTAGCTTTTTGTGCACCTCAAAATGGTTGTATAATTTTGAAACTTGTGAAAACAAAGACATTTTCATCCCTTTCGAATTTCGATCCAAACCCGACTAAATTGATGAATAACGTGCCAACCCACACTACTTATATGCGATCCAAACCCGACTAAAACGCTGAATCCACATCCAATAAGTAGTCTAGGTGTGGGTTTCGTTTGCAGCTCGGGAGGGTTGTCTATGGCCCCAACGAGCCATTTTTTATAAGTTTCAAAGTTCTATTTTGATCTCAAGTATATAAATTCAATACTATACTGCTTCTACGAAACTCTCACAAATCTGTAAGAGCTAACGATAAGTGGTTATTGCTATCGATGAACACAAAGAAAATTTTCCTCAAATGATAGGTTATGAAAAAAGTCGAATCTGAGGCTACGCCATACTTGCCTCTATGCTTTACCACTTGACCAACTCTATAAGTTTCAAAATTATATCATCATTTTAGGAAAATATAATAACTGTATGATCATATGATATAGATGTCCAAGTTATGTGGCCATTATTGATAATGACCTGGAAGAGTTTAGGAGGTTGCCATCTGTTTCTTCATCTTCTTCTTCTCGGCTAGGAAGAGTTGTTCAAATGCTTGTCTCCTAGTCCTAATGCGTGGCACTGTGGCAACTGGCAAACCCCTTTCAACAAATTTTTTTTTGTGAAGAAATTCATTTCGTATTATGGAAAAAACAAACTAGGAGATAGATTGCATGGATATCATGCGCACTGTTTCTTAATTGTTTGATCGCAGAAGAAAATCAAGCCTCAATTTCTCTTGTATCTCTTAATTATAATTTTGTCCTCCTTGTTTTCTGTCCAAATCATGTTGGTACAATTGGTTTCAATTGGTATTGGGTAGCAAACTGGTTGGATGACCCCTGCATGAGTGGCAATTAAAATTGATCAAATTTGGTCAAAGTCGATTAAAATCGAGAAAGCTGATGGTTGGATCGAAATGATTGATTTTCGATTACTAAACAAAATGACGCTATTTTGGTAAAATTAATTAAAAATGGATTCAAGTATAAATGTTTGAATGTTGACACTAACTCTTGTATTAAAATATGCGGATTTATCATTTTGTTTGTAATGTTGTACTTCATTTAAACACAAATGTAGATTGAAGAGAGATTGTCTTGATACATGTTATATATATATATATGAATGGTTCTATCGTACACCAGACAAAATCTTGTGTATGTCGTACACCAGACAATCTCCATTATACGCGTTCATTTCAAAGGTCAGCAAAATTGCGGGTCTATGGTAGAGCTAGAGCCCGGGAAGGTTCTCCTCAACCTGCTGTGTAATCATTGGAATTTGGATTCATAAGGGATGAAATTATTCGTGCAAAAAACAAGGGACTTATGTAACATCCCGAATCTTTTCCCGACGGAGAAATTGTCCGCTTTGGGCGTCTACACCCGCACGGATTTTGATTTGGGGTGCAATTTAAGGTGACTTCCCATAAGGTCACCAATCCTTGTTGTACTCCACACTGAGCACGTTTAACTTCAGAGTTCTCACAAGAACTCCTCAATTTCACCCCAAAGCGCGTCTAGTAAGTTAAGGTCGGTTTCTTACTTATGAATCATGGATCTCTCCTGTGCTTTGTCGATATGGGATTTTCCTAAGGTGTTACAACTAAACTCTCATCCTAGGAGTTAGCAGGTATGATAGTATCTAGACCGACCTGCTATAATAATTTCATAAACATGTGGCTCTCCACTCTTACCAACGAAGTAGCTCGAACAAAGTGAGAGTAGTTAAAGGCTCCATCTTCTGGTGGTTACTCTTCGGTGAAGTACGATGATGCAGGAAAGGAAGAGATAGAGGAAGCAAGGAAACTGAAGGAGATTGGGGGGGGGGGTATTTGCTTCTGTGTATTTCGTTTTTTAATTGAATTTTTGTTTTTCAAATTTTTGGTTTATTTAAGAAATTAAATGGTGGGTAGTTTTTCTTATAATATTTTTATTTTTTTATTACTTTCTTTGTATCACGGGGCTTCCATGTTATCAATATTGTGTGATTGGGCAGTGACGTGGCGCAATGATCGTCCAACATAATGGTACTCTCGGTTTGGTCAATTTAGTAAATTTGATGATTAGTTGAGGCCACAATGTCATAGGTCAAAAATATTGACCGGGATGTTGAATATGCGCAAAGTTAGGGTCAGACGAAAATATTAACCCTAATAATTAATGGGTTTGATATTAGTAAACTTACTTCTTTTAGTGCATACTATATACTTTATTCATACGAGTCATCATTTTAATTATTTGATTCATATAAAAAAATATATGAACTATTGGACTAAATATTTAATTATCCCCATCTGTCAATGCCAAAGATGCACTTCAACAATTGAAACTCAGTTTATAGGATCACATTGTCTCAAAGGTCTCAGGACCTCTTGGTGGCCTCAACATTTCTTGTTTTTGACGATCATGTCATCTACAATGACTCAACGTTACACCTAATCAGTTTCAGTAATATCGTACTGACCATATGCTAATATTTCCAGCCTGCATTCCATAGTACGAATGCCATGACTAGGTAATAGAAGTTCCCAAAGGGTGTGACCATATGCTAATATGTCAAGCTTGCATTCCATAGTACGAATGCCATGACTAGGTAATAGAAGTTCCCAAAGGGTGTCATGAACACTGTCTTTTCTTAGTCCTCTTTTCGCATGGGTATCTAGTGATACCCCAAAACATTATCTAGGAAGATGAGCCTCTTATGGTATGAAGTAGTGTCACTGGATGCCTTTGGCACAAAGACTACATTTAATAGCCACATCATCTATTAAACTTCTTTCGTGAAACCGAAAGTTAACAACTTGTTGACTTCGGCTTAGAGACATTATCTTTCTCCTTGATATGTCTCTAAATTTTTTTTGGATGGCTTTACTTCATGGTTTCATGGCTAACTGGTGTTCACCGACAGATAATACCCAAATTGGTGTTATTTACCTCCCTAGTTTTTGGTGTTAGCATGTCCATTTGTGCATCAAAGAGTGCTTAAACCCACATTATAGCATACATATGCTAGGATCGATAGTTGGTGAAGATGTGTGCATTTAACTCATGTCGAAGAAAAAGGCTCAAATGTGGGGAAATTAGGGCAAACAGAGATCGTGCACAGAATGAAGCATATCACAATCGGGAACATCCGGCTGCAAACTCAAGTTCGCGTGAAATGCAGAAGATCACGACTGCGAGCCCCCATCACAAACAAACTAAATCAGCACCATATCGATATCGCACTCTTCGAGTTTGCTGTGAAATAGACTGGATCTCTGTTCTATTTAAATAGGAGGAGATCCCAAGGGTTTAAGTGAGCTGAATTTTACACACATTTTAGAGAGAGTATAGGAATAAGGAGTTTCCCTTAAAGAAGAAGAGAGCTTGTAGAAGAATAATTCCAACAATAAGAAGTATTTTTTTTCTTGGTTTCCTTCCCCTTATATGTATTCTTCTTTCTTCCACCCTCTTCACATAATAGTGTTTGAAGGTATTTGGGGATAGGTACCCAACCCAACCCAACCCTAACTATGATTTTGATATTAATGAATGATATACTTCAATCAATGGTGTATTTGTGTTCTAATGCTTTGTTACATGATTTATGGGCATGTGAATGTTGTTTTCATATTGTATGTCATGTGATGATGATTTTGGTGCTTGACCATCGTTGAGGTTATAACCCCTTTAGGTTAAGTAAGGACTTACTTAATTGATACTTCTTGGGTGTACACATGATCATTGATTCACTCCAAGGTGTGCCAATGGGTTAAGCCCATTTAAAGAGGATATGAGTTATCCTTTGTCATGGAAACCAAATACATGAGCATTGAGCCGGTATGTGTGGTTATGAGAGACTTGGGAGACATAATCATTGCACCAATGAGGTGTTCAGTGACACTCGTGCCTGAATTGTTGTAGATGTGTATGTTATTCGTTGCATTCCATTACTCGTATGTTGGGGAGTGAGGGAGATAAAACCTGAGTATCGTCTTTGTCATTGAGCATCTTGTTAGCATTAATATGTTTAGTTTAGTTAAAAAAAAATCCATAAAGAATCAACTAGGTAATAATAGATCTCTCGAGTAGGCTATGAAACTAAGACCCATAGAATATGACTTCGGTCACCCACTATACTACTACGACCAATTAGGTTATATTTGGCCTAATTGGGGTGGTAAACTAGAAGTGCACGAGTTTATAACTTGTATATGTGAGCAGTTGCGAGCGCAACCAGAAACATCGCTGCTAATGCCCGTCATCTCCTTGGCACTCCATGTGAACAACTCTCCAGATACTTGGAGAAGCTTCACTAGGGTTTTTCCGTTTGACCATTTTTTAATATGGATTTAAGTGGCAGGGTGGTGTCTGAGTTTAAAGTCAGTAGCATTATTCAGTTTCATTCCTAAAGAAGTTGTGATTCGAGCTGCGCAATGGTATGAATATTTGACATAATAATGTATTTGAAGATGAGAACGAGCCAAATGAAGAGGTATGGGACGAGACAACGGTGCAACCAGAGAAGCCATCTCAGCAAAACCTTCAATTATGTATTGAATAGGGTGAATAATAGAACCAATTATATGGGGTAGATATTCAACCGAATTACTATAATGAGATGCGAGATGAATTTCAATCCTTAAGTGGAAGACACGTGTAACCCACTACATTCGAGTACAAAAATTTTAGTACCAATATTCTGATATAATGAGATGA